TCCCAACTTTTAAAATCTGAATCTGGATCGTCTCGGGTAAATCTCTGAAAAAATAATGGGTTTGTTTACAAAGAAATTGATGGACTTTTTTTATTGGATCAATATTTTCATCCGCGGATATCTGAATGGGATGAATAGAGATCTAGATTAAAAAAGATAAACAATGTTGAGAATATAATCTAGTTTTGTTTATTTAATCAACACAAAAAAAAAAATTAAAATATAAAAAAAAAATTTGTTATTATGGTTAAAGATCATAGGTTTCCTGGTCACCTTTAGTGAGTGATGTTCAAGATTCGAGACTTCTTTAGGTACGTACAAACTACATTTTGTTTCTATTATGAAAAATTTGTTATCTTTTAGTTTGAGAAGAAAAATAGAAATTATTAATTCACATTGAAATTAATTATAATAAAATTTTCACCATTGACTTCTTTATTAAAAATATAAGTGAAGTACATGCTGTAGCTATATATGTATAACGCGTTTTTTTTTATCTTAACAAAACCCAGCTACATTATTCTCCAATAATTTCTCACATCTCGGACAAGGAAGTCACGAAGTCATACGCTTTAGTATAGATCCAAAAACAATTTACTTCCACTTGAAAACAGTCACATCCAAAGTCTTGATTAGTTCTCATCCAGTGGAGAGTCTGACTGATGTTGGTTATGATACCGTCATCAAGAAAGATAATTGTCAATGGTTGTTAGCATTTTTGATAATAAAGACCATTCCAAAAACAAGCGATGTTGCGGCAGGCGAAAACAAAACCAAAGTGATCATCTATATTCCTCGAATGTCCATCCAGCTCTTTCAAAATATAATTAGGTGGATGTTTTAGAGTGGATATCACCATCCTTTGGACCAACATGAACAGGAGAATTATTGTCGAAGTTAGGTAAGTTTTTTGTCTTTCCAACTTCCTAGCCTTTTCTGTTACCTTCAAGGAACTGAGACTTCTGTAGATACTACTACCTGACTTCATTGTTCAATATGAAAAATTATTATGGAATCTAACCTTTTTTTTTTTTTTTTGAATTTAAAAAAAGTGCTAATTCACATTGAAATTAATTATATGAATCAACCTGATATAATTAATAATCATAAAAATTTCTTCCTCGGACGACTTTTATTAAAAATATAAGTGAATTACAAGCTGTAGCTATATACGCATAACTACGATTTCTTTTTAACTTAACAACTACCCAGCTTCATTATTTCTCTCAAACATCTCTAACAAGGAAGTCACGAAGTGACGCGCTTTAGCATGAATTCCAGGACATTTAATTTCACACGGTCCAGCTACATTCAAATCCTTAACATTGTTGTCATTCATCCAGCGAAAAACCTTATCGGCGTTGGTCTCTGTATCACCATCAAGAAAAATAGGTTGACACGGTTTATTCATTTTTTTAGTCGCTTCGAGGGTTAACCTCGTTCCCGTATCAGCTTGTGAGGCGGTAGACGATAACAAAACCAAAGTGGCATCCGCATCCCGGACGTTCCGTTCAATTTTTTGAGAAAATTCTTTGGTTGGTGTTTCATTGAGTGGGTATTTTGATGGAATTTCACCCTCGTCTGCAAGTCGTCCCCTTGGACACCAACCGGTGACTTGAACAGACAGAGAAGACGAGGATTTTTTCGCATTATTGTCGAGGTTAGGTAAGTTTTTTGTAGCATTGTAATTTAAGACGGCATCCAAAGCTGCTCTATCAACTCCCGTTTCACCGCCCGATCGAATGGTTAGGACAAAGCTGTTTGCCTCAGACATTTCAGTCATTAATAACAATAGAGCTGAAACAATGGTAACAGGCAGACGCATAAAAATAAAAATCTTGCATCAAGTTACTCGGTTCTGCCTGTGTGCCCTGATTATGGTATAATTAAGTGATACGAAGGGTACAATTTATTAATACATACGTTGCTCCAAAAAAATCGTACACGGGTTATCTATTATTTTAAAAGTAGAATAAGAACGAAAAAAACCTACCTATTTCACGAGCATGTTGTGAACTAACCACTTGAAATGTAAAAGTCACTTTTCATGTCAGAATCGGTTGGTATGTACGCACATCCGGATAATGTCAATTCTTTTAATATTGTAACCATTATTTCCGAAATTGTTTTAGCCGAATCTTATTTTATTTTTAAAAATTGCGTAAGAGTCTATAAATTGGGTTAATCTGTACTACGCGTCGGTTGCACAGCGATTTGAAAAAAACCAAGGGTAATCTATGTTGCGGAAATTAGATGATTGTTAATTTTTTTTTTTCCTCTCAGTTCGGATTTTTGACAGTATGAAGATCGTATCATTTGCCCTTGACAGTCACAATTACCGTTACAAGGGTCACACACATAAATTGCTATTGTTATTTTCTTATGTACTTTACATTGGCTTTCACATTTCAAAACTTATACAATTTTATTGGTAAAGTTTCTGTTCCAATATCCTTTGGTAACCATAAACTGTAATATTTTAAGGTAAGGACTTTTATCATCTAAAATTTTTATTTGGCTTCGAAACTATTCTTGACAATGTTAAGTTTAATGCGAATTTCATTTTGTTGTAAAGATGACTGAAACTCAGGTAGGATCTATCAATGATTTTGGAATGTGTGATGATTGCCAACGTCCGAATACTGGATATAAATGGTGTAATCAATGTAATGCAAAAAGATTTAAAAATGACTTTGTCAATTGGAGCAGTGATAATGAAATCATTGACGGGTTTATTCAGGAAACCCAACTTAAAGCAAAAGATAAGGATGAACTTATCGAATGGATACCTTTCGAAAAATTTACAAATGTGGAATATCTTACCAAAGGAGGTTTTGGTAAAGTATTTAAGGCTACTTGG